TAAACTGAAGAAAGAGAACTCTCTAATCCGGAATATTACCACAGATAAAGTCAATAAACGGAAACTAACAAATCTCACTCCAAACACAACATATCAAATATCCGTAGCTGCTGGAAATCAAAATGGTTTTGGTGAAGAGACAACAACATCGTTCACAACACTTGGAAAAGGTAAATGTTAAACAAGCAATTAAATTTATTCCATCAACATGTGCTGGTCAACCGTGTATGAGAATTGGGATCTGTGGTGGTAGTAAGTTACATTAATTTGATAATTTTTCAATTGAAGAAGTGATAGAGAGTTCAAAAGTTGAATTAATGATAACAATGATCTTCCTTCTTTTTAGCTTTATTACCAGATAAACCCTCAAAGCTCACAGTCACTAACTCACTCGGAAAAGGTAAAGTTAAAACAGCAACTAAATTTATTCCGGCAACATGTGCTGGTCAACCGTGTATGAGAATTGGGATCTGTGGTGGTAGTAAGTTACATTAATTTTTCCACTGAAGAAGTGATAGAGAGTTCGTAAGTTGAATTAACGGTTTCAATGATCTTCTTCTTTCTAGCTTTGTTACCAGATAAACCCTCAAAGCTCACAGTCATTAACATCACGTCTGAAAGTGCTGGAATATCTTGGGAAGATCCTGCGAATGGAGGGAACAATGGTCTTACAGGATTTCGGATCAAACTTATGAAAAGTAACACTGTAATCCTGAATACTACCATAGACAAAGTCAACAAATATGAAATAGATAATCTCACTCCAAACACCACATATAAAATATCCGTAGCTGCTGGAAATCAAAAAGGTTTTGGTGAAGAGACAATAACTTCGTTCACAACATTTGGAAAAGGTAAATGTTAAAAAATCAATTAAATTTATACCATTAACAAATGTTGGTCAACTGTGTATGAAAATCGAGATCTGTCGTGGTAGTAAGTTGTTACATTAATTTGATAATTTTTCCACTGAAGAAGTGATAGAGTTCAAAAGTTGAATTAATGGTATCCATGATCTTCCTTCTTTCTAGCTTTGTTACCAGATAAACCCTCAAAGCTCACAGTCATTAGTATCACGTCTGAAAGTGCTGGAATATCTTGGGAAGATCCTGCAAATGGAGGGAACAATAATCTTACAGGATTTTGGATTAAACTGTCGAAAGATAACACTCTAATTCTGAATATTACCATCAACAAAGTGAACAAATATGAAATAGATAATCTCACTCCAAACACTACATACGAAATATCCGTAGCTGCTGGAAATCAAAAAGGATTTGGTGAAGAGACAATAACTTCGTTCACAACATTTGGAAAAGGTAAATATTAAAACATAAATTTAATTTATACCATTAACAAATGTTGGTCAACCGTGTGTGAAAATAGAGATCTGTCGTGGTAGTAAGTTACATTAATTTGATAATTTTTCATTGAAGAAGTGATAAAATTCGAAAGTTGAATTAATGGTATCCATGATCTTCCTTCTTTCTAGCTTTGTTACCAGATAAACCGTCAAAGCTCACAGTCATTAGTATCACGTCTGAAAGTGCTGGAATATCTTGGGAAGATCCTGCAAATGGAGGGAACAATGATCTTACAGGATTTTGGATTAAACTGACGAAAAATAATACTCTAATCCTGAATACTACCATAGATAAAGTGAACAAATACAAAATACATAATCTCAATTCAAACACAACATATGAAATATTCGTAGCTGCTGGAAATCAAAATGGTTTTGGTGAAGGGATCATCACTTCGTTCCGAACAACTTCGATCTCAACACTTGGAAAAAGTAAGTGTTAAAAGATCAATCAGTTTTAAACCTAACTTTATGTGTAGATCGTCCCAATTCAAGACTGTCAGCTATTTATGACGAAATCATTGAACCGTAAACAACTACGGCAATAATAGTTTGCAATAATATTGACATATTATTAGCACTGATGAAGATCCGGGCCTACGGATCGAAAGCTTTGCAGTAATAAATTTACGTGGTGTTTCCACAAATAAAACTATTATATTTTATCACCATGCAAACATACAAAGAACTATGGCAATGTTGTATGCTTCTCAACACTTCGTGTTTCGGTAAATATCCTTACTCTATTCACCTTCACTTCAGTAAATAATTCTTAATTGTTCCGCGTTTCAGGCACAGGAGACACTGATGATAGTTCCGACGGATATATTGCTGGGGTTGTGACGTTGGCGGTTGTCGTGAATGTTGTACTCGCCACCCTTGCTTATATTATCTATCGATATCGTCAACTCAAATCAGCAATCGCTGACTATCTTGGAGAAGAAACGTCGGCTCAAATCACGACAATGTTGAAGGGAAAACAACCACTCAAATCAGTAATCGCTGACAATCTTGGAGAAGAAACGTCGGCTCAAATCACGGCATTGTTGAATAATGGGGAAGAACGACTCAAATCTGCAATCGCTGACAATCTTGGAGAAGAAACGTCGGCTCAAGTCACGGCATTATTGAATAATGGAGAAGAACGACTCAAATCAATAATCGCTGACAATCTTGGAGAAGAACCATCGACTGACGTGACAGTCTTGGCGGACAACGGTAGAAAGGTTTCAAAAGATATCAACGATAATAATCCCGTTCAAAAGCAGGTCCCGAAGGTTCTCTTTAAGAAAGGACAACATTGCCTCATTCACAAAGATGACGACCATTGTGAAAAAGTGGAACTGTTGGACATTGGTTATGTTTGAACGGTTTGATATATTTAGTATATTCGTTACTTAGGGACATAAGAGGGCAATAGGGATAGATGGGGATAAGGTTTAGTAGGGATAGGGTTTAATGAGGATAAGAGTAACATTATAGCACAACGCGTGTAATATATAAAGGGGAAGTAAAAATAATTGATGTTGTACTAAGGAAAAGCAACAAAACATGCGAGAAATTCCAAGGTTTATATTTTCTATTAAATTTCAGTAAATTTGTGAGCCGTGTTCTGCTACTTTGTCTGACCGATTATTCTCTTTTACCCAATGGCCTCGTTTCAATGTTAACTTATTTTAGCATGTCAGGGGCAGATAAAGATTATATTCTCATGTTTTCCTGGACGAATTTGTTTCTTGCTGTTCTTAGTAATTTTCAACCGTACTAAGCACAAAACATGAGTAAGTATTTGACATGAAAACGAGGCCATTGGGTAAAAGAGAATAATTGGTAAGGTCTATTTTGGAATAAATGAGCGGTCGATTTATACAGCTTTAAAAAAGCCTGAGGAGGAAGGGTGGTGATCGGTCATACACTCATCCAGTTAAAGTACCACATGACTACGAGATGTTCTATTAGTGAACGTTATTTAGCCAAGGAAACTGACATTTTATTTTCCATATAAAAGACATTCAACGTGTTAGTTGTGTATTTGATAATCATATAACTACAGTTTGCTAGCTCTCAGATCGATATATAAAGTGCGCCATATTTTTTGCCTCAAAAACTAGAAACCGAGTCAATGTGCCTTTTTGTGGTAAAAATATTAATATCATTTCAATGTCTGTTCTTGTTCACATACTTTGTACAATCCACCTCTATTTTGCCTGATCATTAAAAACACTACAAGTCATCTTTTTTGAAATTGCCAACAATCTCAGGTGCTCGAATAGAAAATGAAAAAAACACCAAAAAGTAAATTAAAACATCTCATGCAAAAACCCAATATATATGGGCTAAAACAAGAAGTAAATTTTAAATGGTTGTATTATTCATTAAATTAACCATTTAAAATTTACGTATACACTTTCATTTTTCGGTGTTTGCTTTACATTTTATTTTCTTAATTTTGTCGGCTGGTTCTGGCTTTTGCAAATGACTACATCTATGAACTTATCTCATTTGGTCGTGTACAGCTTCATGACCATCGTCAATGTTGTGTTCTACCGTCTTCGGCGTCCTTTAGACTTCACAGGCGTGTTAAGATCTGAGTTAATATCAGCAGTCGTGCTAAAAGTTAGTCTGTTTCTGATTTGATAGAGTGAATTAATGATAATAACATTTTTACAACAAACAATAGGTAGGAGCTATGTAGTTTATCTAATAATGTATTTCAAAGGCGAGGATATCAATACACGCTTCCGAAAAGTATGTCACCTTGGCTATAGAGCCTCGTTCTCACCCAACTCACGTGCATGAAAACGAGGCGATGATACTGCTGACAAAAAGCAGGTCTGCAAATAATTATTTTACTTGGAAGGACATTTGTCCGGCCAGACAAAAATTGGTGGGACATTTATCAATTTTTCTCGGACAATGAGCAAAGTATATTTTTTTTTAAATTAGCACGATGTATTTCGGCCGGTCATCAGGCTTTTAGCCAGAAGGGCGTCCAGGCGTCCTGGGACGCCCCTAGAACAAAAAATGGACACCTTTGGACGCCCAAATCCTGGGGAAAAAGGGAAATTATTTTCAATTATTTCCCTAAGTACATTAATATATCTGAAACGAAATAGCTTCAATTCTCATTATTATTATACATTTGACATTTTGATCAATTTGATGGTGTACCTGGCTGAATGAAAATGTCATAGTTAAGTAAAGAAGCATAGCGGCACAAACTCACAAAGCCAAGTGTGTTTGAAAAATTTCGAACGAGCTTGGAACAGATACTGATATGAAGTAACGTAAACTTCAAAGGTTTTCCAGAGGAACATTTTCTCGACACCCTCATAAAAAGCTTTGATCGGACAAAACGTAAAATTTGGCCGGACAATTTCCGATGACCGGCACTAATTTGCATGCCTGAAAAGGATACTGGTCTAGATCAAGTTTCTGACGTAAGATTCCAGTGAGGAGCAACTCAGCAGTGTACGCTTTCTCAACGTGCGCTTTCTCACACAGCTCTTTATCCTCGTCACATGACAACACAATCACGTCATTGTCACGTGATGTTGGCATCTTTGAAACAATCTAAAATTTAGGTGAAAGAAATAAGATATTCATATCAGCGCCTTGAAGACTACATTTGATCTATGAGGATCAAAACGAATTTGGTAGAGAAGTATCACAAACATTCTTACCTCTCCCTTGGCACTTTTTATTATTTCTGTGAGAAGGAAGTATAAAGAACAGTCAGACTGTCAGTGACACACTACGACTATGTCATGTGAATAACACTGCGGGGTGAAAACTACATGTAAAATATACAACAAAATCCTTTAAGCCCCTTTCAACAATGTCGGATGATGTTGGACCAACCTGTTTGGCCTCGTCTAAACAGGCCTTTACAGACATTTCAAACTCGTAAAATGCAGCTATGGCTTAGAGCTTCGCTTATATTCTATTTTCTAAGAATATCATCATACCTTTCATATCGTTTGGTGGAGGACGAACATGAGGAGTGACGTGTATTTTGTAACCATCAAGAAGTCCTGCATTTTGAGCAAGCTCTACAGATCTAAAACACCGAAACATGTTAACGCACTCTAGGATGTATGCACTTATAATTGTATTTATGAGGTCACTTTTTGGTTAGAACTTTTCCTCCGAATTTCTCTTTTTACTAAATTTTTACAATAATCTCTTTTTTTTCTTTCTTGGGGAAATATTTTCTGGGAATTCAAAAAATTTTCGGGGACCATTGGCCCGTGGTCCGATACTTTCTCCAGCCCTGATGTGATGTCTCACAAAAGACCATCCAACACACAGCACCTTTAGAATATACGATGGAAGATAACGTTTTGTGAATGCTCTTTAATGCCGGAAACATTACAAAGTAAATGTCAGTGCCACGATAGAAATATATTTTTTATCTTTCTGCCAGCATGTAGTTAGATGTTGTACGATACGAACCTTTCCATAGAAAAGTTAAATTTCTTCTGGGCTTCCTTGTCTTCCAAGATAAAGCTGCTAGAATCTGTAAAACAAAAACAGTGCAACAGCTTGAAATGCCCGAATCAATTTTCCGGGCACAACTTAGTCTTACCGACGAATGACTTTGATTTCTTCGATGCATCTAACCAACTCATATCCACGACTGGTATACCACGTGATACAGCACAGAGAAGTTTTACGGTTCGACGAACCTGGGCAAGAAGATTTCACGGTTACTACAGGAGGAGGGGAACCTGGGGGATACCTGTGGTGTTGATAGAGTGTGGAAGCACTCTTGTTACTCAAGTGAACAGATCATCAGACAAATGGTACAGGAATCAAACCTCGGAGTCAAAGGTATCAGGGCTTATTTTCTGGGACCGCAAGGCCAACGAAAATATTTTCTGCAAGCAAAGGACAGCAAATCTTATGGTTTTTAAATTTTATCGCAACTAAGTAAAATTCAGTGTATTCTAGGCAAATTAATTCTAAACATAATTTCGGTCTTGAAAATAGACCTTATTCCAACATGGCTACCGAATAAATATTTTTTATGTTATAAACAAGTCCTTACGTATTTTTCTCATGTATTTTCTATCTATATGCATGATCTGCAGTAAACTAAGTAAAGTATGATTGTCACTAAAATTAGTAAAACACACTTTCTTTCTTTAAGACTTTTTTTGCCAACCTCAAAAATTTTCGGGTCCGCTATATTTTGCAGCCCTGAAAGGCATGTCACCTACTGCTGTACCTCTACACCTTGTTATCGCTTTGCTTAATTACCTTATCTGTGACTAAATGTGTGCAATCTTCCAAACGCTCGACCACTTTTCCGCCAAGTGTCTGCACAATCTAAACACATTAATCATAACGAATCACCAGTCTTCAAATCATAACAATTGATAAATCTTGTCGATCATGTTATTTCCTCAAGGAATTACAAAATCAAACTACAGTTAATTACCTGAAAAATATGTCAATATTGGCAAATAATATTTCGAAGTTCTTGTTATATTATTCAGGTAGGTTTGATCAGTATATCTCGTTTATTGCTACCTACTTGCACTACACATGTAATCTGTTATTTCCTCACCTTCTTCGCTTTGACGAATGCATTATCTTGCAGTCCAGTAAAAATTATTTTCACATTCGAAGAATGATCAACCGAACCCTGTAAAATAAATCAAGCAACTTTTTAGGCTTTACGAACTATTTAAACAGTGTTTTATCAGATATAAAGATACGCGGCGAAGCCGAGTATCTTTAGGTCTGATAAAACACGCACTGCGAATGTTTTAAATCGCTTCAAAAACGATCGATCTAGTAAGTTTATTGGCGAAGTAATTTTCAAAAAATACCCTGTGTAAGTCGATATATAAATACACGACACGCTTGTGATTTTTCTTTGTGTTTTCGCCATGAATTATTAATGATTCTTGAAAGCTACCTAAAAGTTTGTTATATACCTCGCTGTCTTCTTTCTCTTGTTTCTTTCCTTTCCTTGCTGAACGAGAGACACTGGAGGTGGATGAAGTCGAGGCTGTAGATGATGAACGTTTGGATAAAGATCTCGGTGTCAGCTCAGGTGATTCAAACTGTTCAAAATATAAAGACGCGACCGTATTAAAGAATATGGAATAAAACTGCTCGACTTTCTTTACAAGGAAAGTGCAGCTATGTCATTGTGTATAGGGCTTAACTTTATTCATACCGGATAGCTCTATTGGTCCTAAATTGCATTCCCTAGAAATCTATTAAGGGTCATCATACCTTAATAATGGTCCAGTGTTACAACAAGAGGAAACCTGCACTGGTCTGGAAGCACTCTTCTCACACAGGACTCAGGTAAAATTTTAATCACTGCACGTGAAAGTCACATGCACTAACCACAAATATGTACAACATAATCATTGAAAGAATAAAAAATAGTCACCTTAATGTCATCTTGAGGCGAAGCGGTTGTTTCTCGACCATGATGTGTTTCATCCTTCGTCTCCGAGTTTTCCTCTGTAGTTGTATTTTTACGGCTTTTCTTTGCAGTCCCTTTCTTCTGCTGCGTGGTCTCGTTGGAATTCTCGGAAGATTTTCTTTTTCGTGCTCTTCCTCTAGCAGGAGTTTTTGGTTCTTTCATTTTTGTTTCATTCATATTGTTGGCCGGTTGGTCCATCTCATTTTTATCTTGAACTTGTTCCAAATTTTGGACAGCATTACCACTGGCACCGTTCCTCGACTTTTTCGTTGTAGTTTGTTTTCCTTTCCTTCCACCTCTGCTAATTCTCGTGTTTACAACGGGGGTCATAACATCAGGCAACTCTTGTTCGACTGATTCCGTAGATTTCTCCACGAAGTCTTTCTGCTGACCTTGTGTATTTTTACCTTTCTTCTTTTCAACCATTTCATCTTGTTTCGCAACATCTTCACGTATATTTTCATTACTGTCAACCTCGGTTACACCTTGGCTTTTCTTAGACCTCCCTTTCTTGGTAGGTTTTACCATCGAGTCCTTCTGATTGCCTAGTGTTTGCCCATCTTTATTACTATCAATCATTTCTGCTTGTTTTGAAACACTTTCGGTTACATTTTCATCATTGTCAACCTCAGCCAAATCTTGGTTTTTCTTACCCCTCGCTTTCCTGGCAGATTTCGTAGAAACACTTCTCTTTGCTCGCGGTGCTAGTTGTTTTTCAACCTCGACATTCGTAGTCTCCGATTCATCGTTACTCTCAAGTTCTTCCGTCGTTGTTTTCTTACCACGCCGTGCTGGTCTTTTCGTCTCCAAAACAGGTTTCTTCTTGGGAATAAAATCGTCCGTTTCAGGTGAGTCAACTGCTGACATCTGCAACTACATGTATAAAGCATGAACATTTTTGTATAGTAATTTAACAAATCCCCTGCATACACATCGAAGTCACTATATCATCGATATTTAATTAACCATGAGCAGTGTTGAGAAAACGGAATGAGCTTGTCAAAATTTGTACAACAGTACAGTAGATCTCTTCAAAAGCTCAGAAGCAAAAGATAGCACACTCAGTATTGCCAACTTACAGTGCATGTATGCTATATCCCATGATTTCTTTTGGCTAACAAGTGTTTACTATATAAAAACACATTACTTTACAGGTACCTTAAACATGTCATTGTTTTCCTCGTCGTCTGACATATTTAGTTTTTCTGCTTTGTTTTCTGTTTCCATATTTTCCACATCACCTTTCACGATACTCGACTCAGCTTCATTCTTAGATTCCGTCTTTGGATTCCCTTCAGAAATCTTTCTCTTTCGTCTACTTCTCCTTCCTTTTGGTAAACTTTCAACCTCTGCTTCTTCCGCAACGTCTTCTGCAACTGCTTCATTCTTCTTCCCTCTTGAACTTCGTGTCGTAGCTGCAGACGTTTTACCTCGCGTTGACCTACTTTTACCCCGTTTAACCACAATAGTCTCTAGTTGCTCATCTGTATCCTCAGGCGTCATAGTGTCGTTTCGTGTTGTTGGTAAATCATCTTTCGCTGGTGTAGTAGAAACCCCTGCGGTGTCCTCATTTGGTTCGTCTTGTACTTTACTCCGTGTAGCCGCTGATTTCTTTCCACCCCTTACTGACTTTTTCCTCGTACTAGTACGCCTGTCGTTGTGTTCCTAGTTTAGCATTGAAACAGTTTTACTATCTTTAATTACCATGGTTAGAGGAAACCTAACCTCAAATAACTTTATTTATACTGAATACTTCTATTCGTTCTACGCTGTTCTACGAAGAACATCTTGAGTTGTTATTTATATGCGGCTCACTTTGTAAATACAGGAGGTTTGATAATGATTTTGATATAAAATCGAAAAATTACCATCTTGTTGTTATCTCAAATCTTTAGCGCACAAGATTATTCAGAGCATGCTTTGTTTTGTATTTCTTTCAAATACTAAATACTACATCAAGAGAAATTCAATAACATACCTTATCCCGACTCGTTTCATCTTCTACACCAGGACATTCAACATAGCAGCGTTTCTCTGTACTAATGGGATTATCTCCCTCAATCACAATGGATGATGAGCTCTTTACAGCAGCTGACGTTAAGCTCTAGAAAATGGGAAATAAGGCTACAGCGTATGCAGTTATTTTACGTGAAATTATTTTAATGCACGACAGCGCTATGGTCTCTTAATGGTAACGGTAGTGGAAGTCAAATGTGAACCTCGTTAACAACCTCCTGAGGAGGTGCTTTAGTCTCCACTTTCCTTCTTGACGACTTCTTGGCGGACTTGAAATCACTATCGCTATCTAGGAATACAAGAAGAAACTGATCAACCAATCTGGTTATTGAAAGGGAAGTAAAAATAAAAGAATGTATTTATTGGCTATAGGAATCCAACTCAACTAAATGGACATTTTAATTTCAGTTAACGACTTTAATCCTAAAAAACAGGAGGTTATTGTCGATCAAATTGTGTTTTTCAGGTTTGCAACTGCGCTGTATACTACCTGACTTCAATCCCATGAAACTGGACAATGACGGGAAGTTGTCTGAAGATTCGCTTGTCTCTCCGCTTTCTTTTACTTGGTTTTCAATGTAGTTTTGTGTCGCTTGAATATCCATCTCTATCAAATAACAAGAGGGTAATTAAATATTATAACGGGAACAAACAGAAGCCCATGTTAAAAAAACACCGACATTTGAAAGAAAGATTATTATGTGGAGGAACTTGCCATCGTCATAATCTTCGTTTCCAACTTTTTCATTGTGTGCAGCAGTTTCATCTCTTGCACCGATGCTACCATCTTCGTTCAACTCCTGTGTGTTCATAGCTCCAGGTACTTTGAAAATACCGCTCATTTTAGGCACTTCAATATCATCTCCATATGCCTGTGTTGCTTCAAGTTCATCTCCAGTGTCTGCCGAGTCAGCATCAAACATCAAACCATAAGCTTGAGTTGCCATATCTTCATATTCATCTTGAGGTAAAGTATCCAATCCGTACGCTTGGGTTTCCATCATATCATCGAATATTTTATCCTCGGAGATTTTGCCCTCAGAAGTTATACCCTCGGAGATTTTCCCTTTGGAAGTTTTACCCTCGGAGGTTTGGCTCTCGGACACTGTACCCTCCGAGATTTTCCCTTTGGAAGTTTCACCCTCGGAGATTTGTCCCTCGGACACTGTACCCTCGGAGATTTTCCCTTCGGACGTTTTACCCTCGGAGGTTTGGCAATCGGACACTGTACCCTCGGAGATTTTTTCACCCTCGGGTGTTTTGTTCTCAGGAGGTTCTTTGTCCTTTATTTCAGTACTTTCCTCCGTACCAAAAGGTTGTAAAAACTCCGGAGATTCGGGTATCTCCATAGGCTCGTAGAGTTGCGTTGCGAGAAGATCGTCCAGAATTTCATCTTGCTTTGACATAGAATCTGGTAATCTTTTGTCATTATTGTTTGGAGATCTTTGGTCTAAAAATGTATACAGCACGGATCACTAAGGGTTGCTTTACAGTACAAAATCAAAGTTTCTTTCATTCAATGGGTGATTCTGGCTATGGACTAAATTTTGATCAAGGCAAAAAGAATGAAATCCAACACCACAGCTAGAAAGAGCGTCTTAGAATGAGCAAAACTGCAAAGATCGGGTTGCTAAATGTTGTAAAATGAAGAAAATATAGCCCTGTGAAGTTCGTAAATTTTGTATACATTTGTATTACGCGCGGTAAAAATAACCACTTTCGGCTCAAAAATGGTTATTTTTCCCGCGCGTAATGCAAATATATACAAAATCTGCGAACTTCACAGGGCCATATTTTCCTCAATTTACAACAATTCGCAACCAAACTTTGCAATTTTACTCATTTTAAAATGCTTTTTCCAGCTATGGTAATGGAATTCGTTCTTCTTGTCCAGATCAAAAATTCTCCTATAACTGGAATCGTCCATTGATGCAACAAATTCTTACAAAATACCTGGTGTGTTGTCAAAAAGCAGTTTGTTTTTCACTTGTGAAGTACCTTCACAGGACAATTCCTCTTTCTCGCTTTCAGAAACATCAATTGATTCCCTAGATGTAATAAGACTACTGTAGTTATAATATCATAACCAAATGCGAGATAAGTTTGTATAGTGTGAACCAAATCCTCACCGAGTAGAGTTAGGACTTTCCAAGGTAGACAAACCGTAGGCTAAAGTGTTTCCGGCTGAAATTCGTCTCGAAGTATCAACCTTTACATCCACAGATCGTTTCAACTTGAACGGTGGTTCAAAGTCGTTGCTTTGTGTAAATGGTGTTTCGGGAATGGTATCTGGTTCCAGTGTATTTGGTAAGGTGTTGCAAGGCATGGTAGCGGCAGTTGTTGGATCATTACTTTCCAGGGAATGTTGCGGAGTCTGTTCTTTACTCAATGACAAACTGCCGATGCCTTGGATAAAGAAATGAGATCAGAAAAGCGATTATGCATGTAGATTATATATTTTCGTGGAGGTAGGCAATGATTTTTGCAGTTGTCAGCCCAGTAGCTCCAGGTTTGAATAGGTAGATCTCTGGCTTTTGAAAACGGAGTTCTGGCATTTGAAAACGGAGTTCTGGCATTTGAAAACGGAGTTCTGGCATTTGAAAACGGAGTTCTGGCATTTGAAAATGGAGTTTTGGCATTTGAAAATGGAATTTTGGCATTTGAAAAAGTAGTTTTGGCTTTTGAAAACGGAGTTCTGGTATTTGAAAATATAGAGTTTGGCATTTGTCATTGGAGAAGGGAAATATTTGACAAGACCAAGGATGTCCACTAAACAAGATGTCCACTAAACAAGCATGTCCACTAAACAAAATTCATTTGGTCCTTCAAAACGACTTTTTCCTTAGTTTGCGATAAGCGATGCCGACAAAGGAAAAAATCACCTGAACAAATCTGTTCTGGATAAACTTGTACAAAGAAAAGGTAGTGCTGATCATTTTGTGTGTATAAATGCGGATTATCTATAAAGACAATCTATCTGGAAGTTTGCATAATATGTTCACTCACCAGGTGAGGTCTCATCTTTATTGTCTCTTTCATCATCTGTTTCATCATCATCTGTCTCCGCACAGAAAACTGGAGAATTTTCATCTAAATCGACAGCAATGATTAATACAGAACATGCACATAATGATACAATACTCAAACTCATTACTAATTCATGAGCAGAATATACGCCAGGTAATAATTGATCATAAAATAAGTCAACTTCTGCATTCGTTGCAGGAGACGAGGCGTACTTGTAAGCAAACGATGTACCTGGATTTTTATAGCTGTAATCTTGTGTGGGCTGGTTGAGATATTTCTCCACAGATTCCTCTGGTTCTTCATTCTTTGGTGAATCAGCCACCTTTTCTTTCTTTGCTTCTTCAGGCTAAATTATGAACAGTTTTGGTGATTCATATGACAGCATGCATCTCTGTGGAGATATTTCTTCATATTTGAAAGTGTGTTCATTTACGAATCATTTTAAGACAATACCAAACCTCTTCATCATCCTCTGTAGACTGTGGCATCATCGACTCAGATGCGGTTTCTGACCCTGAATCAGAGACAGTGTCCTTTTCAACCTGTAAATTCAAATTTTGTGGAAATAATTTTTATCACAGTAAGAGGTCTGAAAGAGGTTAACTAACTAGCAACTTTTGTCAATACTTTGCAATCACAAGAGACCTAAAAATAATGTCTGAGAGTTGACAATTTGTATTAATTTTAGTTGACAAATGACATGCAAATAGACTGCATGCACAAAATAATAATCAGTATTCCACAGAACATACCACATCTTCTGTTTGGGCAAAAATATACTGACATGTGACATCAGCAAAGGACAATTCAACCTCATTTACCAGTTCGTAAAATGCTTGAGGTTTCAAGAACATCTAGAAAGACAATCATGACTTGATCTCAAATGGTCTGTGCTAGTGTAGGCAGTACCGATAATAAAAACCTGCGGATTGATAGGGATTGAACTACCTGGAAAATATAACAAACACTTCAATGTTTGTCAGGAAGTAAGTTAGTAGTTTGCCAGTAACTTCACCACAAAGGGCCTTTGCTCAAAAAGTTACAGTTCTCCTTGTATTTTTCAGGTAGTTGTATCCCTATCAATCCGATCGAAGCTTTCTTAATCGTGATTTGGCTATTGGATAACTCCACAGGCAAGAATCTTTTGGGGCATATGGAAGCTAATGATGTACCTGGTTTCTTTGTGTTTTATTACGACTGTTGTAGTCACATATCAAATGGTTCTTTCCGTGAACGTCGATACAGGCATGTTTCTTCGAGACCGCCTATAATCAAAATATACATATTACCTTGTCCCCCTGTACTTGTCATTAAAAATCAGTGTGTTACTCGCCTGCAATGGGATTGTAATATCACAATTATCATGTCTTCCAATGATATTTTCTCCTGTAGAGTAAATCACAATACTCATGAGACATAGCTTCGATACAATGAAAAATCTTGATGTTGAGAAGTTCAAACTCCATTGTACTAATTCACCCACAAATGAAGTATTAAAATGAACAACTAAATAATTTGCATTCTACCTTCATAAACAGGAAACAAGGTCTCAGGAAAGTCACCCACAGCCTGTACCTTTAAGAAGGCAACCTGTTATAAAGATCAATAGAAGATTGTGTCAGACAAGACTTCCAAGACAAGGTGTGTCCCCAATATTTTGAAACCCCGGAAAATTTCCCCGCCCCACCGATTTAGATTAAATGACAGTGGTATGGTTGAAATAAAAATTAAAACTAGGGGTGCATGCAATGGTGCATCAGGTCAGGGCACATCCCATCCGGCGTCCGATTGTTTGGTTAAGCCATTGAGTCCCACACTCTCTCCTTGAGGAGTAAAGTTGTCTAGCATTTATAGACAGAGTAAAATGATTAAAGTAAGGTTCTTTGGGGTGCAATGCAACTTAATGGGTTAACTATATTTTACTACTTAATTTATACAAAAATTAATGTAATTTGCAACTGTACTGAAAAGCAAAACAAACATTTTAACAAACCGTTTTCTTCGAGCCAGAATTATTTAATTCCTCCTCGTCAAAATCATCAAGGACTTGAGTCGCATCCATTCAGGAAAACAACAGAAAAATTATTTTTTTTAAAACTCCAAACGACATAAACAAATTTTGCACATGGTCAATCCAGTGGGTCCATCGCGATACGTCATTTAAAAATGTTATACTGGCGCCAAAATTTGCCGTTACCCGCAATACCCGAAAACGTATATGCGGGCAGTCATTCTAAGGGTTGAAGAACTGATCTCAGACTTTAAACTGGACATACTTAGAATTAATGTAATAAAAGTACTGTATTTTCACTTTATGCAAAACGCATGCAACATAAAATTGCATAAGACTATAAAATATCTATTCTACTTTTTGTTAAGGTACAAATCCAAGTATTTATCTACTTCGTTCCTTCTGTCCAGCTCTCTATTTACTGTTTCTCGTAACTGCCCTAAAACTTCATGTAAGTCGCTTGGCCTAGACTCAGGAGGCGGGCCTTGCCGTCTGTGGTCAACATAGGGTACCCGGCCCTGGGGGAACGGAAACCCGAGGGGGCTTTGAATCCCAAGTTGTGTTCTTTCCCGTATAGGAGTTGCATAGGACATGGGACTTTGTATCCCAAGCTCTGTTCGTTCGCGCATTGGGGTTCCATAGGGATATTGAGAGTACGCTGGTGGATTAGGGTAGTTATTTGGGGGTATTTCAGGTGGTGAACGAATACGACCTACATTGTATGTATTGTTCACTGTTGTTTTTGAATAGCTTGGTGTGAGCAATGGAGTGGAGTATGCACTCGATGGCGGGCTGTTTGGTGTATTGCCGCCAAATGGAGAAGCTGGAGAGTTTTCCAGTGATGAAGGTGGAGTGTTGTTCAAAGGTTTTGGAATCGGCGGTAACCGAAGCGTGCCAACTTCGGGAGGAGTCGGAAGCCGTAATCTGTTTCGGACTGGAATCGGGTCTTCTTCATAAACAAACGTACCCCATGGGTCGTCGGGTTTCGAGTGAAGCGACGGGCTACGGGCTGCTTGAATTCTCTCCTCGCTTCTACGCGGTGTGCGTCTTGCGTCTACGTCCGATTTCTCACTGACTGGAATGGATTCACTGGACAGCTCAACTTCGCTTTTGATTACAGGAATTTCACGCATCTCAATAGGCTTTTCTCCCCTGGTAGGGCCAGGTGACCCACTCTCCCCAGGCTTACGACCAGACTCCGCGCCCAGGAGTAACACGGCGTCTGTGTACAGCGGTGGTGTTGGAACAACAGTGGGCTCAACATCCTGCGCAGAGACTGGTGACAAGTCTTGCTGTAGGGACGACTTTGATGGCGAGACTCTCTTATCGAGAAAGATTTCTGGTAGGGCGATAGCATCATTGTTGGCTACGAAACCTTCGTTTATGATGGTTGTCGACATGCTGTTGTACATAGAAGCCTCGTTGGGACGTATCCTTTCAGTCACGTGAAGTTCACGTGATGAGACTGGAGATTCGTCCAAAATCACTTCTTCTTTCTTGCTTTCATAAGGGAACACAAAACCACGACAAATGAAAAACATGAACGAAAACAACAAGAATATTAAAAGAACAACTATAGGAACAACATAAAGCTTCCATCTGTGGTCTTCTCCGCCTTTTATAATAGTTCTAGGAACTCCGAGTGCTGGGCTGCATTTCTGCTCTGATATATTCACCAATGTAAACTCGGGTAAAAGCGCGGTCTTGAATTCTGGTAATGCAGTACCATTGCTGTCTGTGATATTATCAGAGAGGGCGTGGAGCGTAGCGTTTATTTTCAAACATGCACCACAAGTTTTTGCATGACTCCAAACTATTTGAAACGTATTGTTAGCTTCTGCGGTTGTTGACAGAAGAGTGAAGTTCGTATCACTAAACCAAGGTTGAAAATACACTTCCAATTTTCTTAGAAATTCTGTGTTTAAACTCTCTTCGTTTCCAGTATAAACAAATTCGGTGAAAACTTGATAGCTGAGAAGATTTTCGGGACATCTTCGTTCCAGAAAAACTTCAAACGTATCAACCGCCTCGTTCCCATGTTGATCACGTGTGACAAGTCGAAATGAACGTTGCCAAGAATTTTCCACCAATAAGACGCCCGATATTAGGAGACTGGTTTTATCAAATTTCAGCCAATAGGAAGACGGGACTGGGGCTTTGTTACTAAACTGTAACACTAAGGAAAGGTTCAAGGCATTACCATCTTCGTCATCGATAAATATATCCTCTGGAATCGAGTACCTCAGAAAGCTACCTGAATATGCGACAATTTTCCCAATAGGCCGGACAAGTTGCGGTGGTGATTTCATTGCTTCGATTCTACACAGCCCAAACTTCTCGAGTGACATGAAGCTAGGGACAAAGTATGGTAGCATGGACTGTGAAAACGCCGTATCCACCACGCCTTTGTTCAAATGTAGCTTCTCGCGAAGTATGTTAATTTGATTCGAATCGCACGTGTTTACAGATACAGAACAATTTGTCCACGTTACATATAACCTCGAACCGGTTCCAGTGGTGCTTCTCTCGTATTTTGTTACCATTATAGATCCAGTTTCGGCTTTCAAAAACAACGCGAGCCTCTCGACGAAACGTTTTAAATGATAAACATCAGATAAACTCTCTCCAACATAGCTCGACATTTTAACGAAAACTCCATAATGGACGTCTGGTATTTTTTTATTAAAAAGTATTTCCAACTTCATCGTTGCAAGTTTACCCTGTGAATCGGCGGCTATTAAAATGAACAACTCCGTGGTTGGAGTGCTCGAATTACTTGAATTACTGAGAATTGGGAAACCGAACAATGTCTGGGATTCCTGGTCAAGCTGGATCCATGAGTCGGCTGTGACTGCCAATGAATCGATCATTTTTAACGATAATGTAAGATTTCTAGTGCCCCCGTCTTCTGCGTCAGAAAAGAAATCTGGCGGGATTTGAAACTGCCAAAATCCACAAAAATTTTCAAGTGTTAATTGGTAGAGAGCTTGCTTAACTTTAGGTCTAACATTGGTATCACCGACGCATGCTCCTAACCGTTGCTCAAACACAAATTCCAGCTCAAAATGAGGTCGAAAAGCTTCCCTGAGCTGCTCGGATATCTGACCATCAGCGTTCTTTAACCGTTTTGAAATCTCCATAATTCCTAACAGGTCACAGTCGTTAGAAAGGAAACTACAGTTACTCCAAGTGAAAAACGATGTCGTCGAATTTGCACCAGCACGCACAAACGAATGCACACGGATGGATTTTGCACTCCCGCCCATATAACCTGCCAGAGTTTGTAATACAACCCGCATTTGGTCCACGGAGCGGGTCATATTCGCAAACTGGGTCTGTAAAACAAAGGTAACCTCGTAACTGCTTTGCGGTGAGCGCTCTCCTTCGTATGAGATCTTTATGGCTAAATTCGTGCTCAAACCATAACTGTCTTTGGCGTTTATGAGAAATTCGTAGCCAGATTCGGGTTGGATTTTGAGTGCATCTACATTCGGATAGGCAATGATAGTTTGTGATTGGTCTATCGTAAGCCAATAGTTTTCACCAATGGGAATAGAATTTGAAGTCAATATAGACAAGGTTAAGTTTAGGGTATACCCATCTTCCGCGTCGAAGAACGTGTTATAAGGAATTGTGTATTGAAAGAGTCCGTCACAGACTGTTACATTAAGTGTTTGTAACTCATGGCTCACAATAGGACGCCGGTTTAAACACGGTCCACGCATTTCATCTTCGACGCTATCCACAATAAACGCAGGCGCAAGAGATTGAATGAATCTTGGCTGGGGTAAGGTTCCGGTATGAATCGTCGCCTGTCGGATTTCCTCGATGTTTCGATAATCACACGGCGTGTAACGAAGTGAGCAGTTGGACCAGGCGACTTTGAGTAGCAATTGCGACATCTTAGTGAAGTTTATAACACGAATATCATCTGTCGACGAACTGCTCAGATAACGTTTGGTCGCCTCAACGAATTCAATTGTTTTAAGCACCAAATCCTCTTTAGTTTTAATCAGGGATGGCACTCTAACAACAACAGATAATCTGTAACTGTCTCTAACAACCGTGTCCCTTACTAAAACATTGAAATCCAATTCAGCTCTCTTTCCTTGCGAATCCGTAGCGGTTAATCTGAAAACGAATCCATCCTTCTGCTGATTATCAACAACTTCCAAAGAGGGTACTGCGTAAATTATTTGTGAATGTTCCTCGAAGAATATCCAATCTAGATTATGTCCCTGTGGCAAAACACCTTGCAAATTTAAACTCAAATTTCTTGTGTTCCCGTCTTCGTCAAGAAATACATCCTCAGGGATTTGGTATTTCAATATTTCACAAACAGTTAGGTTAAGAACAGGAATTACTCTGTTAACTCTTGGTGGATTATTCGGCAGATTCTCGCAAGGCCCAACTCTTCGAATATAAGATTCCTGAACAACGAATTCTGGCAGAAAACGTATAGTAAATTCGCTTTTCAGGTTGCTTGAAGAATCTTGGAAACTTTCAGAGGTTCTCGAAATTTCGGCGAAGTCACAAATACTTTGGTTAAAAGTTGATGAAGAGTTAATAAAACTGACATCAAATTTTGCAGGATAACCCTGGAAGCGGACATAATTTGCCACTTGCATGTCACGTAACGCTTCGAATCCTCTCAATTTTTCTTGGAAATTTATAAGATGTATGACGTCAGGAGAAGTTGAACTGAGATAACTGATGAAAGTCAGATGTAGTTCATAGTTTTGTGATATAATATTATTTCTAAGAATTATTTCAAGAAGACTACTGGCTGTTTTTCCACCGCTATCCATGGCAAGCAGGACGAACTTCATGATCCTGGAACTGGAGTCTATATTTCTTTTGACGATACGAGAATTGGTGTCTAAATCACTTTCCGTGAAAATCCCATACAACATTTGTAATGCTGGGTTGAATTGAACAGACGAATTTCTGGGAATGTCCCTATTATCTTCATCCAGCAACGTCAGGGTCAAATTTCTCGTATCTCCGTCTTCTGTGTCATCGAACACAGTTCTCGGAACTATATAATGAAAAACAGTTGGAATTCTGGTGACATTTAAATTCAAAATTGGAACGACCACTGTTGGTAGAGTGTTCAGACTATCTGCACAGGAGCCAAGCCTTTGCTCGAAAACAACAAGTAGTTCAAATTCTGGTAGCAATGCATGTTGGAATTCTTCATTTGGTTGATTGTTGCTGAATCGAGCTTTCTTGGAAATTTCGTGCAGTTGTTGGAGATCACAGTTCTCGGAATCGAGCTCTTTGACACTCCAGGAGAGAATATCTGTAGACGGAATGCCAGATCCTCTTTCGAACGATAGAACATTTAAGGTAAGGTTGGCATGGTAGTAGCTAGCTATTTTGGCAAGTAAAAGTTTAATTATGTCAATATGGGGAACAATAGATGAGAAATTACTCTTGAAAATCATGTTCAGTTTAAAACCAACGTTTTCAATTCTCGAAGTCACTTCTATAGTAAAACTTGTGTTTACTTTTAAACCATAACTGTCCTCAGCTTTTAGAACAAAGGTGTAGTTTTCATTCGGACGTATTTCGTCTGTGACAACTCCATATATCTGATCCGTGGTATCATTAAACTGCAGCCAGGTGTCTGGTGGTAGAACTTGGCCAGATGAGCTTAATAAAGTGAGACTAAGGTTGGAGGTAAAGCCGTTTTCTTTATCATAGAATGTGTTTGAAGGTAAAGCGATGGAAAATAAGCCAGGAGTTGAAATGACAAAATGTGGAATGGGATGTAAGACAATCGGCGCTGTATTTGAACAAGGTCCTGTGAAAATGAAAGAAAAATAGATTAACATAAAGTTTTTTAAAAAATCAAACAGATAATGCACAGTAGTAGGGTGGTTTAGTTTGCTGAAAGGTAAGCAGAATTATGAGGCTTTCTAAGGGCGCCTCTGGCAGCCACCTTATGACTCATGTCTGATCACGGAGTATAGCTACAATGGAAAGGCCAGTCAGAGGTCAACATATCCTGTGTGAGGAGAAAACCGGAGTACTATTCTACAATTTCTTCCCTGGGCCTGCACGCGGGCTATTCTAGAATGGGCTGGCGTGGTTGGTGTTAAACTCTCTGAAAAAAATATTAAAACTACTTCGACATTCAACCCTCCTTATAAAGAACCTTCATTCGAAACGTCGAAGAGATTTTAATTTCTTTTAGTTAGTTCAAATCCAAACCAGAACAGCTTATTTCAAAATATTGCTTGTAATACCAAAGCCATAAGTACCTCTTTTATGTTCCGTTACACTTGATATCAGAAAATCTGGAAACATTGCTCTTGTAAAATTTTCACTTGGTTGGGTAGTGTATGAAGAAGTTGTAGAGTTCCTAGTTCCCTCGACAACTTCGCTGGAGTTTTCAAATTTTTGGAACAACTGGTGCCTGATTTCCTGAAGTTCCACGAAATGACATTCAGATGCAAGAAAATTTAACGTTGATACCCAAACCTTCAAGCTAGTATTATTCTTGAAATAATCCGTGACAATCGTGTCGGAGTTTCCTAAGAAATCCTTTACACTAGCCAGGAAGTTTAGTACTATGTCAGTGTCGGAATGTTCAAGGCTAATGTTAACGGCCATACTAACTTCCACCACATAACTAACTTTCGTTTGGGTGTCGTCAACTACTATACGAGTTGTTGAATTGACCGTATTGGAGTTGGTGTCCATGGCAACGATATGTATGACGTAGCCACCGACCGGTTGTTCCTTGGCAATGACTGACGTGGGTAGTCCATATAGCAATTGTGTTGTTGAATTAAATTGAATCCACGACGAAGAGTTCAATGGTTTATTGTCGTTATCCAGAGCAACCACGCTCAGGTTCCTTGTATAACCGTCCTCAGCGTCATAAAACATTGTCGGCGGCAGCTGAAATCGCAACACTTGATACGGAGGGATATTTAGGGTTTCCACAGGTGCCAGCAGGACTGGAGGGGTATTTGGGAACACATTACCACATGTTTCAAGAAATTCTAGCTCGACATCTTGCACGATAAAATATGGCAACAAAATTTCCGAGAAAGATCTAGTCACTCCACTTTCATCGTTGGCAAACGCCCGGAATCTTTCGTTAATTATTTCATGGTCACATGTGTTAAAACTAGCGCTGCGATTGGTCCATGATATAGTAACGTCAGCTGGGTAGTTTTTGGAAATATTGTAGGAGATAATTCGAATGCTTTCTTTGTCCTCACCGGTAAATGTACTTAGCTTTTCCAAGAATTCTACCACATGATTAACGCATGGTAACGAGGCGTCGAGATAGCTGCGCAGATAGGCAGTGATCTGATAGTTATAAGGTTGGGATGTTTCTGGAAGTTGAACAAGCACACTTGCGCTTGCAACCTTTCCTCCGCTGTCCTGACCTACAAGCAGGTAACGGTACCCGCCCACGGGCTGTGCCTGAATTGCATCGTCATCAGGCAATCCGTAGATAACCTGGGTTTCACTGTCTAACGCTATCCACGAGTCAACGGGCAGCGATTCAAACGACGGCAACAACAAAGACAACTTTAAGTTCCGTGCATTCCCATCTTCAAGGTCATTAAATGTGGAGGCGGGAATTTTATATTCAAAATAGGTTGGGTTTAAACGTAAACGATGTACAGGAATAACCACAGTCGGTTGTTCATTGGCTCCTTCTTTACAATGTCCGACCCGCTCTTCAAAAATAAACTGAACATCAAACTCCGGGCTCATGATCGACTTAAAACCATCATTCACCTGGCCATCGGCTGCTTTCAGTTTCCTCGATATGTTGGCGATTGCGGCCGAGTCACATGGCTTCAATCGTAAATCTGCCAACGACCATTTGAAGACTGTGACGGCATTTTCCCGAGAGTACGACAGCACACGAATTTCATCCGACGATTCGCCGTCAAAGTACGAAGTCAATTTTTCAATAATGGTAAACACTTCTTGTACAGATGTCGAAAATGTGTGCAGACGCATAAGGAATAGTGATACAAAATAATTCGACACCGGTAAAGGATGCTGGACTGTTATCATGACCGAAACGTTCGCTTCTAGTCTCCCAGAATCCTGAGCGACGATGAAAAACTCATCAAAATCAGGATCCTTTTGAGCTTCCTCTAATATGATAACACCTTCTATGATTTTTGACGTGTTGTTCAACATGATCCACCCATCGGAATGCAGTCGGGAAGTGCTCGAGTAACGAATGCTAAGCGAGAGGTTCCGTGTATCACCGTCTTCTTGATCGTAAAACAAGCCACGTGGGATTTCGTAACGGAATTTCCCGCAACACGTGATGTTAAGATGTATGCTCTTTTCTCTGGCCACTGGCGGTTCGTTCAGACACATGCCCAACTTCTCTACTCGCGCATGCAACAGAACAAAATCAGGAACGAGCGCAATGACAAAATGCGGATTTAAGAAATTTTCATCAATCCTGATCAACTGTGAAGTTCTCTCTATACGACTAACGTCACATATGTCCGAAACAGCCTTACAATCACTCCATGTTAAGTAAATCCTTGGTGAAGTTTCGTTCAGGCTTAAAATTTTCATTGTTGCTTTGTCCCCGCTGTACAGATATTCGCTGATATCTTGTATTAACTGCAGGAGATTAAACGAAACTGATTGGCTATCCACTTCGATCGAAATTATTTGACCAATTTGAGATAAATCGTCGTATACAGTTAAAGTTAGACTTGTATTCACAGCACGGCCGCCGCTGTCAACCGCTGACAATATATACTCGAAGTTCACTGTTGTGAAGTTTTTACCAAAAATTTGCGAAGAGACTGGTACCCCGTATATGACGTCGTGGGTTGGATCAAGCTTGATCCATGAATCACTGGGCAGCTCATGAAAACCGTCCGTAAGTAGGCGTAAGGTTAAGGTATTGCCGTCTTCTCTATCCCAGAATGTATCCTGGGGGATCTCGTAGTGCAAGTATTGACATGAGGTGATGTTGAGGGCTGGTAAGGGACGCCGTACTACAGGATCGGTATTTTGACTCGGTGTGATTGACTGAGAGGCTGCTGGAATGGTGCCGCTTTTTGTTGCTGATATCATTTCTGACCTGTGAAACAGAACAAAAGAACATTAGCGGATCAAATGAAGTACGACTCCCTTCCCCAACAACAAGTTTAAACTATATAGTACTGTCTCCGTCGTCCACAAAATCCTTTTAGTTTTGTCCTGGCAGTCCAATTTACGAATCTTAGTTTCCCATAAGTAAAACGAGATTTATTACAGAACGAGACAGATTACTACAGCACTAATTTGTCACTACTAATGGTCAAATTTAATCTAGCGAAATTTTAATCTTACCTTACATGTGTAGTTACATACTGACCATTTCCGACCGAATCTAATGTTGAAGTCACTAATGCCATGTGAAGAGAATTAGTCCTTGCAACCGTCATATTATGTATGTTGGTGATATCGGATTTTGCTTCGAACAGACTTGCAGTTAAAGTTCTATTAAATATATTGCTCGGATGAGACATAAAATTTATTGTAGTGGATTTTTCCCAGAATACAAACGACGAATTGTTTGCTTGTTGTGTTGAATGGCTCGGTGTCATTAAAGACGTTGGTTTGGCAAGCATTACGGTAGAGTTATTGATAGGTGAAGGCTGTAGTTGTTCGACCGTTGCTGGTACGAACGATGAACTACCCTGTACCAGCGTGCTACGGTGAACTGAGGATACGGCAGTACTTTTGCGTATATCCAGGTTGATAGATGATACGCTAGTACTTATGTGGACACCAGGGAAGCACCCCGTGCTATCATTCCCATTCAAAATTCTCCAAGCAGCCACAGGATAGCCGAGGATAACTTCACCGAGATTTTGAGAAATCCCATCTGACACATTAGTCAAATCACATCCTACCAACCAGGATATTGTCAAAACTGGACCGCTATAACTTGTATTTGCCTCATACGTTTCCAGTACTTCGCATCCAGTAGCATTCCTCTTCTCGTGTTCCAATTCATGTTTAAAATATACAAAGCTAGTTCGATCGGAAAGATCAAATTCTGTTACGAACCAGTAGTAGAGCTCGATCCGTTGTGTCGAGTTTAAGCGTGTTCCGTTGACAGCTAACGACACTTCAGTCACGACAAAATTGAGGCCTTCGCCACAGTAAGAGCGGTTCTCGCTAGACACAACGTTAATTTCAAAGGTCTGTGCACCAAGTAGGTCACCAATTGTTGTCGTTTCATTGCATTGCATTGCCAGAACGAATAACTGGTGCAGACCAACATCCGAGGCAAGTGGTATGCCTGTTAAGGAGTAGTTTTGATTCTCGTACGTTAGCCATACTGGTAAATCTTCGGAACCAACTTCGGATACCTATAGTGCAATAAATTTTAAATTTGGTCGAATATTGAGAAATCAAAAGCTACACAAAGACTTGTATACCACGGTGCATATATTATACAAACAAACCTCTCGTTAGCAAATCATGTTAATAAACTTAATTTTTCCAGCAGGTACCGGTAGGTTTGAAAGTCTTACTAAGCGATTTACAACACAGACTAACTTAGTTATTTTTTGCTTTGAAACACAAAGAAAAGCGAAAACAAGAGATTATTTTCTTGTCATAACGAAAAAGTTCCAATTCATATACAGTACTTGGAATGGTCTTTCAGCAAAAAAACTTTTTTATGGTTTAAACAAATTTTTTTGCTTTAGTTTATTTAGCGTGTAAACAATGCTTACAGCGTCCGCATTTTAGCGTAAAATGCAAGTTGAAATTGCATGTTTATTGCTGAAGCTTTTTGATTAAAGATATATAATATAATTTCCCCAAAGGCAAAGAAAATTATTTTCCAACTAAAAGGGTTGGACTTAAACTATTCTGTTTATTTAAAATTGCCTTGTTGATGCGAGTATTTTATCTAAAACACCTCGATAAAACTTCAGTCAAATATCATGAGGAATAAAGCTAAACGTTCCTAAGAGGATAGAATAGCTTATGTTAAGTACGAAAAGGTTATATTATAGAGCAGTTACGATAGCATATTTATATACAATTAAATTTTATCAGTATATCAGTATTGACTTGTTCTGCATTTTATAATATAACAATATATGAATTATATAACTATACAATACATCATTCTTACCAAGAATCGTATATGATAATCTGTTAGATTTGTCGATGCAATATGTGTTTGGTAAAATTGCCCAGTGTATGCATTAGGAACGTTCAACTCCGGCCAGAGACTAGAAAGTTGCTGTTCTCCTATTTGACCATAATCCAAGTAATAGCCCGTAGTCGAACGCCCGCATAGTTGGCAATAAAGTGCAACCAAAATATAAAATATTTTCAGAAAATTAACATCATCTTTTAAAAATTCTTTACACCTTATCATCGTGTGCTTATAAACAGATTTATTTTGTAAAGCAAGATGGTACTATCCATTTTAAACACTATAGAACAAAAACACAGCTTGATACATTCAGCTACATTTTACGAGATTTGATAATTTCCACGATTTCTCGAATCGTCCAATAATGTCACTCCCCTGTGCAACTTTTTCCTCAAGTTATAAAGAACGAAAAAGCGTAAGATTTCGCCACGTTTTTGGCACGTTATCAAAAAGCGTCGACATTATCAAAATGCATACTCATTCATGCATAAATCAGTGAGCATGTACTAGTACTATATATAGAGATGACATCATTGACGGGTTTCAAAACAATGTGATTTTCAAAACAATGAAAAGACAATGCAACAAAATCTCATCACTGGATCGCGACTGGATGGCATGGAGAACAGTGGGGCTTTCAAAACAATGAAAAGAGAATGGAACAATTCGATCACTGGATCGCGACTGGATGGCATGGAGAACAGCTGGGTTCCCAAAACAACGAAGACTGAACGATGGTCCTTATTTTTTACGCTAAATGTTATGCCATAGTTCGTTACGTCAATTAAAATTGTTTTGTATAGTTAAATACGAGTTTAGTTAAAGGATTAGTATCAGGGTCATGCATTGCGGGCTTTTGTTATTGTTTACATTTTACTCAAATACAACAAATAGCGATAAAAATACCTTGTTTGGTACATTTCTGATAAAAATCAGACAAAAAGAGCAAGGATTATAAAATGATGGTTTAAATATATAACGGATTGTAAAAACTTTCCAGATCATCTAATCTATTCGTCCCGAAAAATGGCCGCCAGCAGGAGTTTGAGCCCACGAATTCCTGGTGTGACACTAATCCTTTAAGTATGAGTAGTGTATCTCTTTATTAAATTTTGTTTCTGAAAATTTAAATTACACACACATTATCTTATAATTTATTTCTACTTTATTGTTTAGAATTCAATTTTTTTATTATTACAATTAAACTAATGGAATTAAGTTATCTTTTTCCGACGCTTCAAGAGATTTTTCTAGAAACGAAACGAATGAACAATTATTGAAGACAATAGTCTTATTAAATCATTTTATAGTTGCAGAATTAAGGTTACGTGATGATTTGATAATGATTAATGTGCAGTTTTATCCACAATTTCTTAACACACAAACTAAAGTTCTTAATATGTACTTAAGGAGTTATAATTTATATTCTTTGAACCGATTTAAACATTTGATTCAAACTATGGTATAACCCCAGCAGCCATGAAACTTACCCAGATTTACAACAGTTCATAAGCCTGATAAGCCCACTCTTTCCCAACGCCATTCCAACAAGCATGGCTTTGCCCATCTTTATTATAAATATCTTTGGCTTTACTGGACGACCAGCATTCACCATAATACTCCACGCCAAACACCTGTAGACAGGAAAAATGATACGATGTAAATTTTATACATTTATTTTTTGCTGACTAAATTAAAAAAATATGAATTATAAATGAATTGTTCGTTTTAACATTGTATCAGGGGATCTGGAACATTTGTGTCAGGGGATCTAGAAGGACCTTTAATTTCGAAGATGATTTTAATGTACTTCCTTTAACTAAAGGACCTTTAACTTCGAAGATGATTTTAATGCTAATGCAGCAAAAAAATTTTAGATACTTTTATAATGGACTATTTAAATGGATACTTTTTAATCTTTAAATCATTTCAATTTGTCACTCGTTAAAAATCACTGAAAAAAATCATTGTTGTAACGTGCATATTTTTACATGGTTCAAAGACTGACAATTAATATTGTAAATAATTGTAGCTTCGATGCAGGACCCCACTGAAAAACACGTGTATGTGATGTAGTTGTGTATCCTGAATAAATATTATTATTAATAACCAGGAGTAGCTGCTACGAGAAATCAACTACATGCCCTCAGACAGGAATACCAGTATGGATAGACTAGATGAGACAAAACCCAAACCTTGTAGCCTTTGTCTTTCGCTGTTTTTGCACAATCCATGACAGTCTTCTTCATATCAAACCAATCAATATTATTACGAACATTCTTGTAAATCTCGTCAAGTGGTCTCGTTCGATCCTGATAGCAACCAAGATTTCTCACTACAAGATAAAACAATCATACGAGGCTTCTTCTTTTCCA